ACCGGTTTTTACCCTCTGTTAGAATATGGACTAGCCAAAATCAGTCACATTTGGACGAAATATTAAATTCTAGGGTTGAAAGCATATCTCAAAATCATTCTGTGTCTATCACTACGCTAATTGGAGACGAGACATTTTGTTTCGTTTACTGGTTCGTAATATTTCCCTATAAACTTTCAAACAAAGTGTACACACAAGAAAATGGAAGAATTTTACACATCTCCGTTACTCGTCAAATTATTTCAGCTTCACCTGATTGACATCGCATTACGTAATGTACATCAACAGCGCCATCTGTAACTACGTCGTCGAAAGCAGCTGATTTTCTTTCGTGAATTTATGCAAGCTTCTGACTTCGAATACGAAATGAGCAAGAATGGTTGGTGCAAATAGCTGACAATCCAAAACACCGTGTGCTGCTTAACTCTTAGACTGCTAAGCAAGATTTACCTCCCCTTAGACCCAGCCACCAAGTAATTTCAGCTAACGAGGTTTTTAATTAGTGTATTTTATTTAAAAAATCGTAACTTTTTTGTGTTTCATTTGATTGCAATAAGACTATGGTATGTTTTTGAGTTTGAAGTAAACTTTCATTTGCAACCAACTTTGTTTTGAAGTGTTGTCATTTATTCGAGAAATGGGGTGTTGAACAACAAAAACGAACAAAAAACGCAAAAAAACAACAACATTTTCTCAACAATAACTCTAACATACCTAATTTACTGTTATTCTTCTGTCACATTTTACTTGTGTAGCTCAGGAGAACATGTTATCTTGAAATATACCATGCTGTGGTACCTCATAAAGCATGGGTACACACACAAGGGAGTGTCACACTGAAGACATATGAACTGGGTTTGATGTCGCTTTTTCTGCTCGCGGTCAGAGCAAACAGCACAGTCTGGAGTTGACCTACGTCCACCTGCTGTCATGTGGGGATTCATGGATGGGAAGTGTTTCTCTGTAAGCCTAGAAGGGGGGTTGTTCACTGGCCTAGCAAATCTCTTGTTTGTAGGTTCATAGCCTTCAAGCAGACCGTGAATGACAGCTAACCGAAACTTCATTGAGGACACTTTTTTCCCTCCATTGAGAGATTTCCAGATAATTTTGCTGTTACAGAAAGTCACTTCAAGCAGATTACAGATGACTAACTTCTTCCACCATTTTAGCATTCTGTGTTGAGATACACAATATTGTGTTTGTTGATCTGCAACATCTACACCACCCATATGTTGTGTGTAAAGTTGTATCGCTCTGGGGTGGTCAACTTCGCGTACATGGCCGTCATGAAACTTAGATCTCACTGTCTTGGTGTATGTACTGCCATTGTGGACAGTTGTCAGCATGTTCACCTGTCTCTTATCATGCCAACATATGTAAAGTTTGTTACCCTGTCTCACAACAACTGGGAGGTCACCTTTTTTGGGTTTGGCGGTCTTCACCGCATTAGGAACTCCTATCCTATTAGTCCGCAGCGTGCCACATGCTCCCGTCTGGTTATCCTCAAGATCCTGGAATAGTGATGGGCTTGTAAAAAAATTATCACAGTACAGGTGATGACCTTTATGTAATAAAGGTTCTGTAACATTCATTACAACTCGGTGAGCAGCTCCTTTGGTGGGATCTCCAGCAGCTTTTCCTGTATACAACACCCAATTGTACACGTATCCTGTACTGGACTCCGCTAAAGTCCAAGTTTTCAGCCCCCATTTATGGGGTTTTGAAGGGATATATTGCAGATACTTGGTCCTTCCTTTATATGGAATTAATGTTTCATCTACAGACAGTTCTCTCCCGGGATAATAATAGTGTTGCCATTGAGAAACAAGAAGTTTTGCTACCTCAGAAAATTTGTAGGTAGGGTCAAAATTTGGGCTGTCACGTGGTGGTTCTTGTGAGTTATCAGCGGCGTGGAAAAATGACAAAATATTTAAGAACCTATCTCTTGGCATTAATACAGTAAACCCTTTCAAAGATATTAACTCATCAGTGTTCCAGTATGAATCGTAACCAGGTAAACGTACTACACCCATGTAGAGAATAATCCCAATGAAAGCTTTCATTTCCGAGTTCGTGACGTCAGTCCACTTTCTCGCACGGGCGTGAGGTTTTAAGTTTTCAACTCCACCAAGATTTGTGATGTACTGTTCATAGTATAAGTTTGTTTGAGTCACTAATATATCGATAATTTCATTATTGAATAACGTAAGAAAAATATCCGACTCCGATCCTTCCACATGTTTCGGTCCCGAATTTTCGGAAAACTCAGTCAACCACGGAGAAAAATATGCATTATGCTTTGGGTCACGATCTTCCCTATCCATTTCATTCTCAACTTCTTGTTCAATTTCCCGCAATTCCTGATCATCCAAATCAATGTCGGCATCAAGGTCAAAGTTTTCACCGATTTCATCACCAATATCTTCTGGATAGAAGCCCATAAATTCATCATCCTCGCTATCGGAGTTACCGACAAGTTCGTAAAATTCGGCTTCAGCCATTGTTGCAAAATATTTCAGTCAAAACATGCAAATAATCCCATTTTTCTGACATAAATCAATGACTTCTATCACTGTTGATTTTTGACCGCCATCTTGGATCTCACCTCTATTGACTTCCCGCGAGATATCATATATAGTAACACGGGAATTCCCGT